GTCACATCCGTCTTCAATACTGTCTTCAAATTTGTTCAGATCTGCAGATCAGATGTTGACTTTAGGCTGACGTTGAGTTTGGTAATCGGAGAAAGGAAGCAAATGGCTTTCTCATGTGATCAGTGGAGAAATCAAATGACATTCTGATTCAATAGGATTTGGCAGTTTTCTTGTCATTTGCTCTGCCAATTAAATCATTTTCTTTTGATTCATTCAAAAGGGCATCGGGAGTTTTCCTGATCAAACACCATGTATATTGTTTAAGTATTCATAGCTGTCCACTGAGCTGATTTGATTTGATCAGATTTAACTGCCAGTATGAAGATCAATACAGGACAGAACAGTTCAAGGCAGTCTTTGTTCTGTTGGTTGTGATGTAGTGGTTTCCATGTTTGTTAAATTTGTAAAGACAATCTAAGGCACACCATCTTTTAGGGCTGCAACGATATATCATGGCACGATATATTGCGATATTTTGAATATGGTGCTACACAATTTTTTTTGTTTAGGAGGTCACATACACCTACGACATTTTCCGGCCTTACTTTCAGTTTTTCTTGTATATGTTAATTACGTTAAGAACTGCATGCTTGGAAACTAAAACCCTGTCAAACTTTGGCCTTTTAGGTAAAATGTATAATTGCCCTTCACTGTAAGTACTTACTGTGTATAGTAATTTTTACATATTTTATTTCCTGTGGAACTTAGGAAGTCCACCTTCACTACTAACATCAATTCTAAGTTTTACTCCCTAAATATGATTTGATTTTTATACCCCTACAAATGAAGTTTAGGATGGTTATACATGTATAGGAATCACCCTCTCTGTCTGTCTGTTCGTGATCCTTGTAAGCACTACTCCTCCTAAACCATTGGTTGAAAGTTCACCATGTAGATGTGCATTAAGAAAGTAATTTGTGATTTAACAATTTTTTTCCTGAAATGGCCCTTCAATTGAAACTTTAAATTTCTGTTCCAGAAACCTTGTAAGCAAAACTCCTCCTTGACTGTTTGTTTGATTTATTTGTAACTTGGCACAGTGAAACTACTTCAAAAGATAGATAAGCATGAAGAATGGATTTTTTTTATCTGACAAATTTTCCTGGAATTATGGCCCTTGAAACTACAAATTTCTGCTCCTGCACAAGCAAGAGTATATCTTTGCGAGCTTCTCTAGTTAGACCTGTTGAAGAACAGAGTTGTTTCCCTATGGAGAAATTTTCATCTAATGCCTGTTATCAATATCTGCTTTGTCATGAAAAATTCCATCAACAGAAGTGCCTCTGTGTCAATAAAATCCTAGGCCTTTGGTCTTCCCCAATTTATCATCTTCCATGAATTTGATATGAATGCACACTATTATGTAAAAAGAAATCAGATTTCCCCTCGACCAGCTTCCCTTAATCAGCAAAATGTCAATGATCGGTGATTGATGATTTTCAGGCGACCTCTTGACCAATCAGAAGGCTTGCAATTGGTTAGTGTGTCTAAATTACAAACTCTCGACAGCAGCAGAAACTGCTTTCAAAACAGATCCACTTTGCTGTGATAATGATCAAGTTTATAGTGTCTAATGTATATATGGTGTATTGAGTCAGTAGTCTATCTAGATTGTATTGTGACATGGTATACTTAACATCTCAAAAATATCAAAAATCAATATCACTCATGATTAGATCAATAAAGTCAATATCACTCATGATTAGATCAATAAAGTCAATATCTCAGACACTATAAACTTTGCCTCCATAATATACTTTAATCTCACAGACATCATACAATCAGTATCCTACAAACGTGATATACTATAATCTCACAGACATTATACAATCAGTATCCGACAAACGTGATATACTATAATCTCACAGACATCATACAATCAGTATCCTACAAACGTGATATACTATAATCTCACAGACATCATACAATCATTATCCGACAAACGTGATACACTATATTTCTCATAGATATGATAGAATCAATGTCTCACAGACATGATCAACTCAATATCTCACAGACATGATAAACTCAATATCTCACAGACATGATAAACTCAATATCTCACAGACATGATAAACTCAATATCTCACAGACAGGATAAACTCAATATCTCACAGACATGATCAACTCAATAATTCACAGACATGATCAACTCAATAATTCACAGATATAAACTCATTATCTCACAGACAGGATAAATTCAATATCTCACAGACAGGATCAACTCAATATCTCACAGACAGGATCAACTCAATATCTCACAGACAAGATCAACTCAATATCTCACAGACATNACATGATCAACTCAATATCTCAGACATGATCAACTCAATATCTCATAGACATGCATAATAATTATGTGAAATAATTTTTAATGTTAATAATGTTTTCTTCAGGAGCACATGTCACACTTGCAAGTGTCCCAGAGACGCACACGATATCTACAACGAGAACTTTGTCAATGTACGAGACAGACTTGGATGGAAACGGGAGGATGACCCGAAC